GTTGGCAGTGTTTGAAGAAGTGTTATGAGACGTCTCAAAGCACTTCTTCAAATATGTGTCGACCCGATGGTGGGTTGGCAGTGTTTGAAGAAGTGTTATGAGACGTCTCAAAGCACTTCTTCAAATATGTGTCGACCCGATGGTGGGTTGGCAGTGTTTGAAGAAGTGTTATGAGACGTCTCAAAGCACTTCTTCAAATATGTGTCGACCCGATGGTGGGTTGGCAGTGTTTGAAGAAGTGTTATGAGACGTCTCAAAGCACTTCTTCAAATATGTGTCGACCCGATGGTGGGTTGGCAGTGTTTGAAGAAGTGTTATGAGACGTCTCAAAGCACTTCTTCAAATATGTGTCGACCCGATGGTGGGTTGGCAGTGTTTGAAGAAGTGTTATGAGACGTCTCAAAGCACTTCTTCAAATATGTGTCGACCCGATGGTGGGTTGGCAGTGTTTGAAGAAGTGTTATGAGACGTCTCAAAGCACTTCTTCAAATATGTGTCGACCCGATGGTGGGTTGGCAGTGTTTGAAGAAGTGTTATGAGACGTCTCAAAGCACTTCTTCAAATATGTGTCGACCCGATGGTGGGTTGGCAGTGTTTGAAGAAGTGTTATGAGACGTCTCAAAGCACTTCTTCAAATATGTGTCGACCCGATGGTGGGTTGGCAGTGTTTGAAGAAGTGTTATGAGACGTCTCAAAGCACTTCTTCAAATATGTGTCGACCCGATGGTGGGTTGGCAGTGTTTGAAGAAGTGTTATGAGACGTCTCAAAGCACTTCTTCAAATATGTGTCGACCCGATGGTGGGTTGGCAGTGTTTGAAGAAGTGTTATGAGACGTCTCAAAGCACTTCTTCAAATATGTGTCGACCCGATGGTGGGTTGGCAGTGTTTGAAGAAGTGTTATGAGACGTCTCAAAGCACTTCTTCAAATATGTGTCGACCCGATGGTGGGTTGGCAGTGTTTGAAGAAGTGTTATGAGACGTCTCAAAGCACTTCTTCAAATATGTGTCGACCCGATGGTGGGTTGGCAGTGTTTGAAGAAGTGTTATGAGACGTCTCAAAGCACTTCTTCAAATATGTGTCGACCCGATGGTGGGTTGGCAGTGTTTGAAGAAGTGTTATGAGACGTCTCAAAGCACTTCTTCAAATATGTGTCGACCCGATGGTGGGTTGGCAGTGTTTGAAGAAGTGTTATGAGACGTCTCAAAGCACTTCTTCAAATATGTGTCGACCCGATGGTGGGTTGGCAGTGTTTGAAGAAGTGTTATGAGACGTCTCAAAGCACTTCTTCAAATATGTGTCGACCCGATGGTGGGTTGGCAGTGTTTGAAGAAGTGTTATGAGACGTCTCAAAGCACTTCTTCAAATATGTGTCGACCCGATGGTGGGTTGGCAGTGTTTGAAGAAGTGTTATGAGACGTCTCAAAGCACTTCTTCAAATATGTGTCGACCCGATGGTGGGTTGGCAGTGTTTGAAGAAGTGTTATGAGACGTCTCAAAACACTTCTTCAAACACTGAGAGCGCCCCTGCGGCCTCAACCTGCATTCTGATCATCGCCTCCACAGCCCTCTGCTCCTCCTGTAAGCAGGGGGGATGGGCAGGAAGAGGGAGAGGGGGAGGGGCAGCGGGCGGGCAAGGGGCAGAAGGAGGGGGAGGAGAGGTGACAACATTTTTGAAAAAAACTCTCAACCTGCATTCTAATCATCGCCTCCACTGGCCTCTGTTCCTCCTCCTCCATGGGCAGGGGCAGGGGCAGCAGGACGGGGAGGGGGAGTGGGGCCGAAAGGGATGGGTCTGAGGAGAGAATTTAGGCACCTCAAATCAGCAGCGGAAGCAAGAGCAGGAACAATAAACGGCGCAAGAAGAGGAGCAAGAGCGGCAAAACGAATACAGTCCGAGAAGTAGGAGCAGCAGCAGCAGCAGCAGCGGCAACCGTACCAGCAGGTCAGCATGTCTCTCTGCTGCTGTGCGCTTGCCCCGCTGCTCCACAGAGAATGCCTCCGTGTTGCAGAAGGGGCAGCTGCGAGGAGTGAGGTGCGGAGTGGGGGGAGGGGGGGGTGGGGGGGGAGGGGAAACAGGTGTATACATGTTACAAGAGGCCGCATGCCACCAGCACGGTGCTCCACAGAGAATGCCTCCGTGTTGCAGAACGGACAGCTGCAAGGGGGATTCGCGGAAGGGCGACAGGGAGGAATTTCTAAGACGCCATCACAAAAAAAAAGGCTAATTGAAAGCGAAAACGCATATAAGGCGAGGCAAGCGGAGGAATTACCGGAGGGCGCATTGTATAGAGGCTGCCATGCGGAGAAAGCAGTCTGCAGGGGAAGGGGTTCAAACAGAGAGGCAGTCTGAATGAAGAGGAGAGGAGGAGAAACTGAGAGAACGGATGTGATGGGGTCATGCGGTTGTCATGGGGTCATGAGGGAAAAGAGGTTGTCATGCGGATAAAGCAGTCTGCTGAGGAAGGGGTTGAAGCAGAGCCAGCAGACAAGCAAGACTGAGTGAAGAGCAATCGAGGGACTGGGAAAATGGTTGTGAGGACGGAGCTGAGAGAAGGGGCCGCAAGAAGAGATGAGGGCCTTGCATGCAACAGCGCAATCAACACGGGCATGCATCCAGCAACGCCCTTAGCACGGGCAGGGCGTGCCGCGTGCTATCAAACGCGGGGGCGCGCTACTACCAGCACTCGAGGCTCTTGAGGTTCCAGCAAGTACCCACCCGCGCAGCTACCCACCCGTGCATAGCCTTTTCTTGCAGCACCGTGACGTGTTGAGGCTGGGGTAGTTCTGGAGCAAATGAAGGTGGGTGCACGGGACAAGACAAGCAAAGTTTGGCGTTCTGGCGGAAACGGGACATATATTTATTGTAATTTTGAATATGTATTTTCAATGAAAGGTGCCATGAGTCGTGCAGCGAGGAGTTGTTCAAAGCACGAAACGAACCTTGCGACGAAACGGCCCTTGCGACGAAACGAACCGTGCGACGAATCGACACCTACGACGTACAAGGAAGCAAATAGGGCACTCGTCGAGGTCGTCGCTCGGTTCGTCCTGGCCCGCATAGCGCGGCGCGAGTCTCACGGCCATGTCGTGGTGAGAGCGTTTGCGCGCCGAGGCGCGGAAGCTAGAGGCGCGGATGCTAGCGCGAGGCGCGGAAGCTAGAGGCGCGGATGCTAGCGCGAGGCGCGGAAGCTTGGGTGCGGTGTGGAGCTGCTGTGCTCGATGCTCGGAGCTTGCAAGAAACGGGCCAAAGGGCCTGATTTGAATGATATCACAGGTTCCCTCAGCTTCGCTACAATATTCCTGCTCGCTAAATGCTCTATCGAAAAACCTTAGCGAACATCGAGATATTTCCAATAGAACCACTCAGCCCCAATGGTTGAAATGGCCTACTTTGATAAACACAAGTAGGTTTTACTACGTTACAGAGCGGTACTCTTCCGAACCGTACCGTTCGTTTTGAAAAATACCAAATGTTCCACGCCCAAACATCGCTTGCAAAGGTAAATTCACAATTTGTTCCTCGTATCGCTTGCATGTTGGCTTTGTAGGAGAAGCTGAGTCGTAGATGAATATACCGGTACACTATATGTCACCCTATTGATGGATATTTACATTGCACTTGCAAAAAGCTGAGACAGCCACTACCGCCGCTAGGCTTCAAGCCTGCTCCTCAGAGCACCTCTCTGCTCCACTTTACCTGTGACACGACGCATTGTCTTTGGCGGACCCAAAGAGGATAGAATGGACCGAAATGCACTAGTGACCACTGTGAACAGCATGAGCAGAACCAATGCCAGCAGCACCACCACCACCACTGCCACCCCCACTGTCACCCCCACTGCCAACCCCACTGTCACCGCCACTACCACTACCACCCCCGCCAGAACTGCCACTGCTGTCACCACCGGCCCTGTCTGCTGCTGCCTTCTGCTCTGCTTCAGAGAGGGAAAGCGCAACTGCCAGATTCATCTGCTCCTCGAAATCATCTGGCACTGCCAGAAGCATTCCCAATGGCGCCAGGGATGCAGATGCCGGCGCAAGCACAGGTGTACATGGGGGTGCAGGAGCAGGAGCAGGAGCAGGAGCAGGAGCAGGAGCAGGAGCAGGAGCAGGAGCAGGAGCAGGAGCAGGAGCAGGAGGAGCAGGAGCAGGTGCAGGTGCAGGTGCGGGTGCAGGTGCGGGTACGGGTGCGGGTGCGGGTGCGGGTGCGGGTGCAGGTGCAGGAGCAGTCGAAAGCACCAGTGCGGACGTCGATGCTGCAGCACCAGAAGGCTCATAAGACCTAGATGCAGCAGAAGCTTCTGCAGCTGTTGCAGCTGAATCCCTCTGCTCATTTGAAAGCCGACACTGCTGCTCATCCCAGCGTGCAGCAGTTGCCCGTGCTTCTGCTAGAGCCCTCTCTAAGAGCTGGCATTGCTCGGCTATAAGCTGGCGTTGCTCGGCTATAAGCCGGCGTTGCTCATCTAAGAGCCCACGTTGCTGCTCTTGCTTGCGGGCTGCTGCTTGTGCAGCCCTCTGTTCTCCCCTTTGTGCTTCTGAAGCTGCTGCAGCCGAAGATGAATGCATGAACTGCTGCTCTTGCTGCTGCTCCTGCTGCTGCTGCTGCTGCTGCTCTGCATGTGCTGGCATTGCTTCTGGCGCTCCTGCTGCAGCTCCAGTTGATGCACTCTGACTTGGCTGCTGATACTGCTGATGCTGCTGCTGCTGCTGCTGGTGCTGCTGATGCTGCTGCTGCTGCTGCTGCTGCTGATGTTGCTGCTGCTGCTGCTGATGCTGCTGGGACGGCGGAGTGGGGAGAGGGGAGAAGGATACGAAAGGGGAGACCAGGTAAGAGCAAGGATGAGAACGACATGGCCCATGGGGCCTACTTCCACCGAAACAACTCTCAATAACGATTGTGTCTTTTAAGAATTCTCAGAAGAAATTGTTAAAGAGATGCAGGAGTGGATTGCCAGAATGACAAGCTGTTCTGAGAACTCTACAAGAAAACGCTTTCTCATGGAAGACCGAGTAGACTGCTACAAGAGGTGGTGTTAGGGGTTGCAAGAGGTGACCTTTGCGTTGACCCAGAAGGAGGTGGGAAGGAGTGGCAAGAGTCCACTCTCTGAACGAGACCAATCTCCTCCTTCCGGAAAAAGCCAAACGATTTGTGAGTCAACTAAGAAAATGGAGAGCAAGAGTGGCAACATCTTACTTGCAGTGAGAGCCAGATGGCTTGGCGGAGCATCAGCTCTTCCTCTTCCTCTTCCATGTCCTCCGCTGTGCCTTCTTCTTCTGCTTCTGCTTCTGCTAGTGCTGCTGCAGTTTCTTCTTCTGCTGCTGCGAGTGCTGCTGCAGTTTCGTCTTCTGCTGCTGCTAGTGCTGCTGCAGTTTCGTCTTCTACTGCTGCTAGTGCTGCTGCAGTTTCTTCTATTTCTGCTTCTTCTGATGGTGCTAGTGCTGCTGCTGCTTCTTCTGATGGTGCTAGTGCTAGTGCTGCTGCTTCTTCTGATTCTGGTAGTGCTAGTGCTGCTGCTTCTTCTTCTGATTCTGCTAGTGCTAGTGCTGCTGCTTCTTCTTCTGATTCTGCTAGTGCTAGTGCTGCTTCTTCTTCTTCTACTTCTGCTGCTGCTAGTGCTGCTGCTTCTTCTGATTCTGCTAGTGCTAGTGCTAGTGCTGCTGCTTCTTCTTCTTCTGCTGCTGCTGCTGCTGCTGCTTCTTCTACTGATTCTGCTAGTGCTAGTGCTGCTGCTTCTTCTTCTGATTCTGCTAGTGCTCGTGCTGCTGCTTCTATTTCTGATACTGCTAGTGCTAGTAGTGCTGCTCGTTCTTCTACTTCTGCTGCTGCTAGTGCTGCTGCTAGTGCTGCGACTTCGTCTTCTTCTTCTGCCGCTGCCAATGCTGCTGCTGACGTCTGGTCAGCCGGCCGTGCAGAGTGCGCACCTGTCGCCTCACCCCGCATTCTTCTCATTGCCTCCTCTGCCCTCTGCTCCTCCTGCTCCGTGGGGAGGGGGACGAGGGAGGGAAGGAGGAGAGAGTATGGGGGCAGTGGGCTTGAGTAGACTTTGAGGCACTGCTGTTCATCCCTCCCGCTGCCCTCTGCTCCTCTTGATCCATGGGCACGGGGAGGGGGAAAGAACGAGGGGCAGGCGGAGGGGGAGGAAGAGGGGGTGGTGGGTGGAGGTGAGACTGAAGAAGCACCTCAAAACATAGCTCCTGAACCATGGGCAGGGGGAGGGGGGAGGGAGAGGGGGGACGAGAGGGGGAAGGCTAGATGCATAGCCTTTGAAGCACCTCCAATCATCTCAAAGCAGGAGCAAGAGCACCAATGGCGCAGCAAGAGCAGGAACGGGAGCACAAGCAGGAGCAAGAGCAGGAACAGGAACAGGAACAGGAACAGGAACAGGAACAGGAACAGGAACAGGAACAGGAGCAGGAGCAGGAACAGGAACAGGAACAGGAACAGGAACAGGAGCAGGAACAGGAGCAGGAACAGGAACAGGAACAGGAACAGGAGCAGGAGCAGGAACAGGAACAGGAGCAGGAGCAGGAGCAGGAGCAGGAGCAGGAGCAGGAGTAACAGGAACAGGAACAGGAGCAGGAGCAGGAGCAGGAGCAGGAGGAGCAGCAGCGGGAGAAGGAGGAGGAGCAGTAGCAATAGAAGCGGCGGCGGCGGCGGCGGCGACGACGGCGGTGGCGGCAGCAGCAGCAACAGCAGCAGGAGCAGAAGCAGGAGCAGGAGCAGGAGCAGGAGCAGGAGCAGGAGAAGGAGCAGGAGCAGGAGCAGGAGCAGGAGCAGGGGCAGGAGCAGGAGCAGGAGCAGGAGCAGGAGCAGGAGCAGGAGCAGGAGCAGGAGCAGGAGCAGGAGCAGGAGCAGGAGCAAGAGCAGGAGCAGCAGCAAAGAGCGGGAGCAGGAGCAGCAGCAAAAAGTGGGAGTGGGAGCGGGAGCAGGAGCAGGAGCAGGAGCAAAAGGAGCAGCAGCAGCAGGAGAAGGAGCAGGAGCAGCAGCAGGAACAGGAGCAGGAGCAGGAGCAGCAGCAGCAGCAGGAGCAGGAGCAGCAGCGGCAACGGCAGCGGCAGCAGCAGCAGCCTCACCAGCTGGTCAGCGTGTCTCTCCTCTGCTGTGCGCCTGCCTAGATGTTCCGCAGAGAATGAATTACTGTTGCAGAAGGGACAGCTGCGAGGGTTGAGGTGAGGGCGAGAAGTAAGGCAGGAATGTGTAACGCACAAGGCTCCGTGTAACCTACTGGAAAGGTCAAAGTCAAATCAGATCAGATCGGAGTGGTGAGGAGAGGTCGAATGAGGTGAGTTGAGGTGAGGTGAGGTTGTGAAGGCGAGAAGGTATGTTGAGTGAAGCAAGCAGAGGACTCACCAGGAATAGCTGGAAGATTCTGTCACGCGGAGATAGCAGTCTGGATGGGAAGGGGTTCATGCAGAGACACCAGAAATGTGGACTGGATGAAGACCAAAGGAGAGATTGAGAGAATGGTTGCGCACGTTTAAAGAGTTGATTCTGAGACAGAATGAAGGGGTTCATCATAGGGAGGTAGGTACACGTTTTTCGAGTCAACTTGAACGAACAAACAAACAATTCCATTTGAATGGAGGGAATTGAAGGAGGACAAGAGGTGCAAAGGAATCAACAAAATGAAGACATGATGGCACATGGAAAACGGTAGTGAAACTGAGTGCAAAGAAACAGGGTAGTGAAACTGAGTGCAAAGAAACAGGGTAGTGAAACTGAGTGCAAAGAAACAGGGTAGTGAAACCAAGGGTAAACAAACAGGGTAGTGAAACTGAGTGTAAACAGTGGGATTGAGCGTCAGCAGAGCAGTTACCCATGTGTGCAGTTACCCGTGTGTGCAGTTACCCACGTTTGCAGTTACCCACGTTTGCAGTTACCCACGTTTGCAGTTACCCACGTTTGCAGTTACCCACGTTTGCAGTTACCCACGTGTGCAGTTACCCACGTGTGCTGCTACCCACGTGTGCTGCTACCCACGTGTGCTGCTACCCACGTGTGCTGCTACCCACGTGTGCTGCTACCCACGTGTGCTGCTACCCTCCCACCTGTGCACAGCCGTCTCTTGCAGCATCGTGTCGTGTTGAGGCTGGGGTAGTTCTGGAGCACGGGAAGGTGGGTGCACGGGACAAGAAACAAGCCAAGGATGTGTGGCGTATTGGCGAAGCGAACGAAGACGACCTCGTTTGCATCACGAAACAAGCAAAGGATGTATCACGTTTGCGCGGCGTTTTGGCGAAGCGAACTAAGACGACCTCGTTTGTATCACGAAACGAACTCTCCAGGGCAAGGAGATTCACCACGGAACAGACAGACGGGGCACTCGTCAAGTTGAGAGAGCTTAAATCAGAAAAGACCCCGTTGACGTTGAGAGCTTAAATCAGAAAAGACCCCGTTGACGTTGAGAATCGATTCAGAAGTCGATTCGGAAACAGAAGCATCTGACCACCTTCTGCGAGAGTTACCAGGAAACAGATGGGGCACTCGTCGAGGCCGTCGCTAAGTTCGCCGCTGCCCGCACAGCGCGTTTTGAGTCGACTCACCACCAGGACAATTAAGATTTATTCACCAGGACAGAAGGATTTACTCACTAAGTAGCAGATGGGGCACTCGTCGAGGTCGTCGCTGGGTTCATCCCGGCCAGCATCGCGCGGCGCGAGTCGCTCAGCCATGCCTGCGCGAGAGGCTTGAAAGAGTGCGATGAGGGCCTGCATCGCCGCGACCCGCACGAGGCGCGTTTGTTTGCGCGGGTCGAGTGCTTTCGTACGGTGATACTGTCGGGATGCTTGCCGTGCTCGAAAATCCCTCCGTGAGACTCGCAGGCTGGAGCTTCCGAATGCAACAGGCAGGTTAAAGTGACTGAATAAGCCAGGCAACGTTTGAGAGCACTCCTTTCGGTCGGAGCTCTGCTTTTGCTATGCCGTCGTGATATGCTACAATAGCCCTGCTCGCTAGTCACGACCGCCATTGATTTCATACAGCCTAGCATGACCTCGGAATGTCGGACTTCTAATGGCTGCCACGTGGAGCTTGCGGTCGCCTTAGGGCGTAGTCGAGTCGCACGTCTTCTATGCATTCACCACGGTTTTGACCACGCCTCCAGGGCGTGGCACGCTTGGTTGACTTACAGACCAAATGTTGTACTATAGCGATTTCTGCATTTTATGGGATTATAAAAAATTAAAAACCCTGGGTTCCGTGGGTGTTTGGTCTAGTGGTATGATTCTCGCTTTGGGTGCGAGAGGTCGCGAGTTCGATTCTCGCAACACCCCGTTTTCCAATAGCTGCTTTTTGTTCTTTCTCCTGCTTCTTCTCCTGTGAAATCTAAGTCCACCAGGTAGCTCAGCCCTCTTCGCTTCTCACAAGTCGCATGCAATGCAAGAACAGCTTCCCTAATCAACTCCTTTCGCACATACGGTACATCCTTTAGCCTCCATCTACTACGGTTGAGTCCTGCACCATCTTCTCTCGAATCTATGCTCAGCCCCGTCATACAGCCTTTCACATGAGGCCACACAAGCGAGAAGCAACATGCTCGCTCCTCCAATACCTCTCACAATCCTTTGTCCATTGTCTCCTACAACTCGTCTGCTGCACCTCCTGCCCCCAAGTACCATACGTACTCCCACATCTACGCTGAGCCCCACGAAGCCATACACGCCAGGCCACACATGAGAAAAACACCACCTTTCCTCCTCCACCAACTCTTAGAATTCTGCTCTACTGCACTATGCTCTCCCATGCCAACACTCAGCCCCGCACAGCCATACACGCCAGCTAAGCCACAAGTGAAACAGACACCACCCTTCCTCCTGTCTCACAATCCTTCACTTGTCTGGTGTCTCCTGGTTCCCCAGGGTCTCCTGCTCTGCTGCACCGTGTTCCGCCATGCCAGCCAAGTTTCACGCCCGCACAGCCATACAGATTAGGCCACATATGGAAAAAAAACTCCACCCTTCTCCCTCCACTGCCTCTCTCTTCTCTGGTGTCTGGGTCATGTGCTCTACTGCACCCTGCTCTCCTTCCTACGCCACCACTCAGCTTTGCACAGCCCCGTAGAGCCATACACGCCCAGCCACACATGAGACAGACAGTCACCCTGCTTCCTCCATTTCACTACCTCTCACAATCCTTCGCTTCTCCCACACCAACGCTCAGCCCGGCACAGCCGTACACATCAGGCCACACATGCGACGTGACGCCTTGCCACCTCCACCCCCACCTCCTCCTCCACCTCGTGCCCGCTGCACCACATACGGCACCCTTCCAAACAGCCCGAGGCTCAGGCGCACAGCAGCACTGCACAGCCACACACATCAGGCCACACATGCGACCCACACCCTGCCTCCTTCCCTTCACTACCTCTCAGAATCCTTCACCTCTCCCACACCAACGCTCAGCCCCGCACAGCCGTACACGTCAGGCCACACATGAGACGAAGCCTTGCCACCCCCGCCTGCTCCTCCTCCTCCTCCTCCTCCTGCTCCCGCTCGCGCCCGCTGCACCACAGAAGGCACCCTTCCAAACAGCCTCCTTCCTCCTCCAAGCAACTGACCACTCCAAGCCTGCCACGTGTGCCCTGCCCTTCCACCCGTCCCCCTCACCCTCTGCTCCTTGCTGTCCCATCCCAACCTCCCATCCACCCTCTGTTTTCCCACGCCAACCGGCCCAGAAAAGGTAATTCTTTTTTCCAAATCCTCCTCCTCCTCATCATCATCAGAACTCTCACCATCCTGTGGGGTTAGACCCACGCACTTGCTCGCTGCCCCCTCCTGCTGCTGCTGCTGCTGCTGCCCCTCCATCCCAGCCCCGCCTGGCTGAATCGCCTCCAGCTCCCCTATAAGCTGACTCAGTATCACCCGGCGTGCCTGTGCGGCCAATGCGTGCTGATTGGTGGATAACACAACTGCGGCTTCTGCCGGAGCCCTGTGTAGCGCTGAACCTGGGTGTAGGTTGTTATCGGTCGTTGCGACTGCTGTGGCGGATACAGATGCAGCTTGTAACGAGGACAGCAGGTGAGTGAGAGGGAGGTCTTGGTTCTTCAGGCCTGTCGTTGCGAGCAATCTGCACTGGCAGGTCGTGTCCAAATCAGGGCACGGCTCAGCACTGCTGTTGCAGCTGTTGCAGTTGTTGCAGCTGTTGCAGCTGTTGCTTTTGTTGGAGCACAGCAGGTCGTGACTGTAGGAAACTGTTCTTTTACTAGAGCCTTGAAACCTGTCAGTTTTGAAGGGCCCAGCTTCGGGAAACACCAGGTTGTGACTGTAAGCAGTGTGACTAAAGGCAGTGTGACTGCACGCAGCCTCATGGTAAGGCCAGTAGGGACTCCTGGAATAATAACCATCCTCTTTACAAGCAACCCCGCGTTCTCCCTCTCCGTCCATCTCCATCCTCTCTGGCCGCTCCCCCTTCCCCTCCTCTTGCTCCCCCTTCCCCTCCTCTTGCTCCCCCTTCCCCTCCTCTTGCTCCCCCTTCCCCTCCTCTTGCTCCCCCTTCCCCTCCTCTTGCTCCCCCTTCCCCTCCTCTTGCTCCCCCTTCCCCTCCTCTTGCTCCCCCTTCCCCTCCTCTTGCTCCCCCTTCCCCTCCTCTTGCTCCCCCTTCCCCTCCTCTTGCTCCCCCTTCCCCTCCTCTTGCTCCCCCTTCCCCTCCTCTTGCTCCCCCTTCCCCTCCTCTTGCTCCCCCTTCCCCTCCTCTTGCTCCCCCTTCCCCTCCTCTTGCTCCCCCTTCCCCTCCTCTTGCTCCCCCTTCCCCTCCTCTTGCTCCCCCTTCCCCTCCTCTTGCTCCCCCTTCCCCTCCTCTTGCTCCCCCTTCCCCTCCTCTTGCTCCCCCTTCTCCCCCTCAAGTTCGCCTGTACGCTTCTGCTGCTCCTCCCCCTCTTTCTGCCCCAATCCCCTCCGTCTCCAAATGCTGCTGATGCTCTTAGACAGAACCATCAGGGGAAACCGCGCGTTTACCCTTTCCCCCTCACCACGCCCTACACTCCTAAACGTGGGTGACTTCAAACTATGCCAAGGCTTTGGCCCCTGAAAAGAGAAGGTTCTTTCTGCCTCTACTCTCAACCCCCTTCCCGTGCTTTGGCGTTTTCCCAGCTCCCGCCGCGACTCCTGCCCCCCGTCTCCGCCTCTTTCCGTCACTCCGCGCCCGCGCTTCTTTTCCTTCATGATTTCCCCCGCGTCTTTTCCACCACCCGCTCCCGCCTTCCCCGCTTCCGCTTCCCCCGCTTCCGCCTCCCCTTGCGCCGTGTCTTTGAGTCGCATTTGCTCCAGCTCCTCTATCAGCTGCGACAGCGTGTGACGTCGCGTGCGACCAGTGTGCGATCTGCAGCCTAACGAACGCTCCGTCGCAGGTTCGCGAACGTCGTGGCTGTTACTGCGACAGGGGGAGCGGGGCGAGGGAGAACACTCGCCTTCGCTGCGCGACTCTCCTTCGGCGCTGCTGCCGTTGCATCCGCTGCCGCTGCCGCTGCCATTGCGGCTGCTGCCGCCGCAGCCGCTGCCGCTGCTGCCGCGGTATATATCGTCTAATCCGCCGCTGCTACTAGTGCTAGTATTACTATCCGTGAAACTCTCTTCTCCCAGCCAATCACGTCTTCCCTGTCCGCCAATCTCTCCGCCGTCGATTGCGGAGGAATGCGGAGCAGCAGCGGGGCAGAGCGCGCTGAACTGCCGCGCCAATGCCGCAGCTGGGGAAGGCGTGTTTTGAGACGTCTCAAAACAAGCAGCAGCGGGGCGGAGAGCGCTAAACTGCCGCGCCAATGCCGCAGCCGGGGAAGGCGCAAGGGTAGTCGGCGGAAGGGAAGGGGAGTTGGGGAACGCGGAGGTAGGTCGGCGGGGCTTGACCGGGCGCACGCTGGCTCCACGGAGAATCGGCGGAGCGGCTGGCTTTGTGCTTGCGCCCGTCGCAAAAGGATTCGCGCGTGTCCCCTGACTGGGGAGAGTGCGAGCGGGGGGTAGGGGGAGAGGGGTACGGGCGGGGGAAGAGGAGCGGAGAGACGATATGGGGGGAGGAGGGGACGGGACCGTTCCGTCGAATGCCGCTTCCTTCGCCTGTGGTGGCGCCTCTACCTCGTCTGCTACCGCTGCTGCTGCTGCTGCTGCTGCCGCTTCCCCTACGCTCACCCCCACACACTCCCCTGCTGCTGCTGCTTCCGCTTCGCCTCCGATCACCCCTGCGCACTCCTCTTCCGCTCTCTTTTCCCCTCCGCTCAGCCCTGCACAGTCCCCTTCCTTTCCCGCACCTGGAGACAGCTCTTGCGCCCCTCCCGCACCCTCCTCCGCCACCCGTACCTCCGGGACAGGTCCGACAATGGCTGGTTCGGAGTGGGCTGGTTCGGAGCGGGCCGGCTATCGGCGAGAACTGGTTCGGCAGGAGGTACTTCTGCCTGCACTGACGGCGCCGGCTCCGGACCCTCCTTCAGTGGTGGCTCGGTCGGAAGATCCGATGACGAGTCGTTTCCTTGGGCTGAGGGCACGTGGACATGTAACACTGTATCACGGTCGTGTAACAGCATGATGGCTCCGTCTTGTAACGCTGTGGTTCCGTCCTGTGCAAGTGTGGCTCCGTGCGGTGCAAGTGCGGCTCCGTCCTGTGCAAGTGCTGCACCGTCTTGTGCATTTGTGGCAGAGTCGTTATCAGCTGCTGACTTGCTAGCGGCGGCATTACCGTCCGTAGAATTCGCTGCCGCATCTATAAATTCATCGACAGGCGCAGCATTATCCTCACTCGCACCTGCTGGTGCAACAGTCAACTCATCGACTTGAGGCCCCTCAAACCCCGATTCGCTAGGGTTCGCTGCGGAGTTGCTAGCATACCCTGCATTATCTTCAGAGGTACCTGCGGTCGCAACAGTCGGTTCATCTGCTCGCGAAGCCATCGCTGACGCTGTCTCCTCCTCTTGAAGCCCCTCAGGCCCTGATTCGCTAGCGTCTGCTGCGAAATTGCTAACATCCGAAGCATTGCCTTCGTTCGCGCCGGCTAATGCGACGGCCGATTTATCGACAGCCGTAATATTATTTTCACTAGAACCTGCTGTGGCCGATTCATCGACAGCCGTAAGATTATTTTCACTGGGACCTGCTGTGGCCGATTTATCGACAGCCTTTAGATTATCTTCACAAGGACCTGCTGTGGCCGATTCATCGACAGCCGTCAGACTACCTTCACTAGCACCTGCTGCAGTAACGGTCAACTCATCGACTTGAGGCCCCTCAAACCCCGATTCGCTAGCGCTTGCTGCGGACATGCAAGCATTCGCAGCAATATATTCACTAATGTTAGCTGGAGAACTGCTAACCACCGCATCAGCCGCAGTATCTTCACTAGCACCTGCTGCTGTAACGGTCGGTTCACCTATTCGCGAGTCCATCGTTACCGCTCCCTCCGCTTCTTGAGTCCCCTCAAACCCCATATCGCTAGTGTTTGCTGCGGTAACAGCACCTGCTGCTGCAACAGTCAACTCGTCGACTCGCGCATTCGATGGGGACGCTTCCTCCGTTGCTCCTCTGGAAGATTTCTCCGAAGCTTCTTTGCTCGCCTCTCGCTTCTCCCAGGAAGCTCCCGCCTCGATCTACCGCGGATTTGTTGCCCTGTCCAGCGAACTCCGCGAAATTCGCTACACGGATGTCTGAGGGCAGGTGTCGAGGTTGAGTCGCAATGCTGCATTCACAATGCTGGCTAATCCTTATTCACCGTCGTAGCCTATCCTACAACAACTCTCACTTCGGATCGTTCTATGGTGCGTCAAGCTAAGAGATTTCTCCGAGCTCTGCTGTGGACACGCTAAATTCATGGGTGCAAGCTGCATTACACATTGCATAGCATACCTGATGGATGGATGATGCAACGCAACGCAATGCAATGCATGCGAGGGAAGTTATGGATGAAAATAAAGACAGAAAGGATTATGTGATCCTGCGTCGCGCTCATGGAGGCGATTTGATGGATGTGGCTGGCTGATGCTGCTGATGGGAGGGAGTGTTGGGGAGGGGAGAATCAAATGCTGGATGGAATGAAATGAAATTTGTGAGCCAAATGGCGCGATGCGCGAAAGTCGTGGCCGAATCGGGCCCCTCGTGCGCACGGATTTGGCGTGCCGTTGCGATTCTTGAACAGGTCACTGACATTGAAGTGATTGTAGTGAATGAAAGAGTATGGTACACTGATCAATGGAATCCATCTTATATCACGATTGATTTTTTTAATCAAGGAAAGAGGAAAGGATTTAGGAAAGAGGCAAAGGAAAGAAAAATCGAGAAAAAAGGAAGGCAAGAGGCTGTTGGAGTGTGACAAGAATATACATCAACTGTGCCGAGACAAAGCTTGAAAATATAAAGAGAGGCAGCATGCAATGTGCCCTACTCTGCACACAAGCAGGAGCTATTCCTCTGGTGGCACAACCCACCTATCCACACCATGTGCTTTTAGAAACACTCCATCATGAAGATTGGGTAGTTTCACCGCTGCCCACGTAACCAGCTTCGTTTCCGGCTGGCCAATCGCCACACTGAACCTAGGATTGAACTTGGTCAGGTTTGCCCCTTCCAACAATGTTGGAATTTCAGCATTGCGAGGCAGCTGGCGCAGCTGACGGAGCGTGTACAGGCCACTAATGATGTTGTATGAGATTGTACGCCCCCACTCGGTTCCGTTGTCCCAAACTCGCAGCAGCGTGTCGATTAATGCCTGGTTGGATGGAAGTAATATGGTTGTGTTCTGGATAATGGTGTAGTTGGTGTTGGGATCCTCAACTGGAGGGAAAAGGAGAACGCACAAAGAAAAAGGAGTGAGGCAAGACTGAACAAAGAGGGGATGAATGGGAGAGAGCGAGTGAACAAAGGAAACAGGTGAACAAGCACTGAACAAATAGTGAAACGCTAGGGGAGTTCTTTCTACACCTCCTGAAACCCTTCAATCTGCTCAAATCTAGCAAGTTGGAGAAGAGAAAAATACAAGAATGCAGAACTGATGAGAAAGAACAGAGAGAGCACATAGAGACAGAGATCAAAAGTACAGCTGAAGAGCATGACATCTACAGCAGTGCATAGAAGGCTCGCACCAGGCCAAGTCACATCAAGCCAGGGAACACCATGTGAAGCCACTCCTTACTCATCATCATGCAAGGAGTTGTTCACTGAATCAAGCAGGATGTAAGTGTGTGAGTTCAGGGCACAGATCCCCACTCGCCCGTTTGAGGAACCTCGCGGCGAGGGAGAAGCGAGGCCTGGCAGCAGCAGCGAGTTGGAGGCCAGCGACCTCCTCCCGCATCAGGTCACACTGAATAAGAGGGTGTGTGTAAACGCGTGAGTTCAGGGCAAAGACCCTCACTCGCCCGTTTGAGGAACCTCGCGGCGATGGAGTAGCGAGGCCTGGCAGCCGCGGCGAGTTGAAGGCCAGTAACCTCCTCCTGCATTTGCTCGTTCGTGGGGATGAAGCGTCAGCCTGCTGCACGTCGCCTAACGACAGCAGCAGAAGAAGAAGAAGAAGAAGCGAGAGAGAACGAAATGGATGAAGACGACGGGGATTAGTATCCATCCTCGAGATAAACTGTATTCTCGCTAACTCGATTTCTCGAAATGAATAAGAGATTCTTGGAACAAGATTCTTGAAAAGTAGAATCTTGGAAACATATGAGGCGGTCGTATCTGGATAAGACGGACTGACTTGACCCTCCAAACGCTGCGAACCCCGAAGAACGAATCCTGACGCGTCGAGTCGCGGGAGGCACTTCTTGGTGAAAGCTCGCAGGCTACTGCCGCTCTCCTCTCCTCTTCCGCGCCGCGGAGATCCCCAGAGGGTCCTTCAATAGAAAGAGCCTAAGCGCCAAGCCCACGCCACGCCACGCCACCCCGCATCGCTACCCTCAGCGTCGCAGCCCCCTCTGATAATGGAGGGTGGCTGTTTTGCCTTATCTGAAACGTCTTGTCGTTGCATGGCCGACTACATTGCCGTGACCACACGTTTCCGTTCCTTTCCTATTGGCTAAGCTCATGAAGCAGTTGGTAACTTGCTAAAGTATTCGTATCTGGCTCATTGTTATCTGCCGTGTCGCTTGATTAGGGTAGGCTGGAACTTCCATAAGGCCTAGGGTGGCTTTTTCTTTCGGCCATTTTCAGGTGCATGCAGCTTAGTCGAGGCGCGTTATTCAGGTGCATGCCAGGTTGCTTACACTTTTCTCAGGTTAAAAAATGTCTCTCGTAAATTAACACGCAGTTCAAGATTCGAGGCACAAAAGGTCTGAAATAGATGCAATTTCGGGCTACGCAAATTGGAATCGGAATGGTTGGCTCTCGATGCTGCATTTTCTGACGTAACTCAGTGCAATGATTGCATTTTGTCCAATTTATACGCAAATTTCTGCTTTGCACCAACTCATTTCGAACGAATCTAATGCTAGATCTGTTGTACTTTTGACGCAGATGACGGACGCTGCGCATGGCAAATCAGCAAACCCTTCGTGAGTGTTTGTATATTTTGCCTCTACCAAACTAAGTTTGCCGTACGTGCATATTGAAATAGGTGGTATTCAACGGCCTTAATTACGTGGCATTAAATATACATGTAACATACGATATATCCTTAATAGCGGTAGGGGTAACTCACTCTTAACACTCGGGCATATTTATCGTGTTTCGGACTACCCTTTTCAAGCAATGCACGTCCCACTAGAGTTTGCTGATTTGACCCGCGAAGCGTCCGCCACCTGCGCCAACAGTACAAACGATTTAGCATTACAATCCGTTCAAAAAGATTTGGTGCGAAGCAAAAAATTGCGTAGAAACTGGGCAGAAATGCAATCATTGCACTGAGTTACGTCAGAAAATGCAGCATCGAAAGCCAATCATCCCGATTCCGATTTGCGTATTCCGAAATTCCATCTATTTCAGACCTTTCGTGTCATTTTTTTTCGAATCTTGAACTGCGTATTCATTTACGGGAGAAATTGTTTAACCTGAGAAAAGTGTACGCAACCTGGCATGCACCTGAATAACGCGCCTCGACTAAGCTGCATGCACCTGAAAATGGCCGTTTTTCTTTTATCGCAGTTCGTGTTGTCAACTGCGTCTCGTAGGCAGGCAGTGTCGCACATCGCCGTCACGGCGAATTGCCAGAAAGGTTACTCGCCGACCACTCGTGCAAGGAATACATGCAAAGCTGCTGCTGGTGCTCGTGCGGGGTTTCGTATCCGCTACGTGCAATGGTTCGGCCAGAGTGATTTGTGCGTGTAGTTCGTGTTTGAGTGCTGCGCTACAAGCAGTATATATTGGTGATGGAAGCATAAAGAAAAGGCAAAAGGTACTTCTTCAAGCATGAAGAAATCACAAGCATTTACAGCTTAGGCAAGCGGTTTCACCACATTATTGCATAATTCGCCTGATTATTCAAGAGGTTGCAAAAGTTCACAAGCTGCGATATTGTACACCCCTGATAAAAGCAGAAGGCAGGGCTCGGCTCACCCAGCCCAGGTTTATTCCTGAAAAGGGCAACATCCAAGAGCCGCAAGTGAGCGCATGCCAAAAAAATACAGCAGAAAAGTTTTACGATCTACCAATATCCGCTGCCAAAAAGTATGCGATACTGTAAAAGAGGATGCTCTTACCGGTGTGGATTTGATTGCCTTGCGGAAGAGGAAGGCTGGTCGTGTGCTGTTGCAAATGGCCCGCCAGTACGCGAGAAGTATGACGGCCGGCCGCACTGGTGGGCAGAGTAGGGGCAGACGGAAGAGAGGCGAGCAGAGAGAGAGGAGAACAGGTGTGTGAATGACCTGGTAAAGCATCAGTGGGTTTTGCAATGCACAGATACCGTATATCCCTGGGATGAAACGATCAAGAGTGGACTGAAGGAAACCGGAGTGGCAGCAGGTTCGAGTCGAGGGGTATTGACTCACATCGAATCTTCCGAATGCTCTTCAGAACGTTCTGCGGTTTCCTCTTGCTGCTGCTTCCCTTCTCGCCCTCCTCCACTCGCTCCTCCTGCTGGCCTGCTGTCGTTGCTGCTGCTGCAGCTGCTGCTGCAGCCGGTCTTCCCATTGTTGCTGCCCCGTTCGCCCCTGTCTTCTCCAAACGACCCCTCCTCGTGTCGAACTCGTTCCGAGTGAACACCCCCACAGGCATCGACACCACCTTGCTCCATCTCACACTCCTCTTCCTCCTCCCTTCCCCCACCTCTCCCCTCCCTCCCCTCTTCCCACCCTCCTCCCCTTCATTCCCCTCTCCCTCCTCCAGCCTCCCCAGAGGCCTACACATCTTGTATTCCCCTCCGCACTTCCCGCACCCCCCTACACCCTCCTCCCCCCCGCACCTACTCCCCCCGCCCGCATCCCCCCCTCCCCTTGCTCCCCCCGCCCCCCCCCTGCTGAGCCTATGCACGGGGGAGTAAACAGGGCGCCTGTTTCCCCCCACCACGCGGATTTTCCGCAGGGGCCACCCGGGGGAGGGCGGGGGGAAGGAGGGGGAGCAGAGGAAGCGGAGAGCCGCGTCAGGGGAGGGCGGGGGGAAGACAGAGAGCAGGTGGTGCGCGCTGAGCGCGGGGGAGGGGAAGGACGTGGAGGGGCTGGGCGGGGGAAGGGCGGAGTGGGCGGAGAGGGCGGAGAGGGCGCTGTGGGTGGTGATGGCGCGGGTGAGGGAAGGGGGGAGAGAGGGGGTTGTAGCAGCAGCTGCAGCAGCGGTGGTAGCAGGGGCTGTCGCAGTGGCTGTAGCAGGGATTGTTGAAGCGCCTGTAGCAGGGGCTGCGGCAGGGGCGGCTGCAGCAGGGGCGGCTGCAGCAGGGGCGGCTGTAGCAGCAGCTGTAGCAGACGTGGGGCGGACAGGGATGTACTTGGGTGGGAGCAGCTTCTTGCTCGCTGCTGTGGAGTTACTGCTGTTGCTGTTGCTGCTTCGTGCCTTGCTGCCACTGATCTCCCTAATGCTGATTGCCTTCGGTGATCGTACTGTGCTCAATGATTTAGCCGTGCTGTTGCCGCCTGCAGAAACGATGCTGCTGCTGATGCTGGTGATGCTGGTGCTCCTGCTGCTGGCAACTCTGCTGCTAATCTCCTTAACGCTGACTGCTCTCATGCTCGGAGACTTGGTCGTGCCCGGTGACTTTTCCGTGCTCAGTGATTTTGCCGGTGATTGCGCCGTGCTGTTGCCCCCACCAACGCTGCTGCTGCTGCCACCGACGCTGCTGCTGATGCTGGTGATGCTGACGCTCCTGCTGCCACTCTTCAATCCTCTCTCGCCCCTGCTCCTTGCCTTGCTGTCTCCCTGCTCAACGCCAACAGCACTCCGCCTCCTGCTGCTGCTACTGCTGCCACTGGCCTCCTTATTGCCACACCCGTTAGTGGCACCACTCTCTGACTCGCTATACACCCCCTCCTCGCTATACACCGTTTCGTTACAGCTAGCAGTGTAGTTCTGGTCACACGAACGAGCGGCAACTGCACTGCCACCACATATACTGCTCACACACTCACCTCTGCTCCCCCCTTTGCACTTCCCCTGCTTTGTACTCGTTATTGCCCCTTCGGTGCCGTTTATTGTGCCCTCAGGGCTCCTTATTGCCCCCTTAGTACCGTTTATGGTGCCCGCAGGGCTCGTTATTGCCACATGCACGCTATTCGTTATAGTCTTACCGTTTATGGTCCCCTTAGTGCCCTTGCTGCTCCTACTGCTGGCAGACGTGACTGCCTGGCTGCGTCTGCTGGCGCTGCTCCCACCCAGCTTCGTGTAAGTGCTGCTGGTACTGCTGCTACCGAGTCTTACATAAGTGCTGCTGGTGCTGCTGCAGTGGTTGATGATCATTGGGCTGCTGCTGCCGCTTATTGCCGGGCTGCTAATGCCACGTGTCTGCTTCTGATTCGGGCTGCTAACGCCACGTGTCTGGCTTGCAGCGGGAGATGACGTCAGGGATCTGTTGCCCTGCCTCTGCTGCCCTTTCTTCTCCTCCTGCTTCCCCTTCTGCTGCCACCGCTCTCCCTCCTCCTCCTCCTCCTCCCCCTCCTTTTCCTTTTCCAGTGATAGCTGCCTGCTAGCAACGCCAACGACAGCAGTTGCAGCAGCCCCACAGGTTACCACCACACCAGTAGCAGCAGCAGCGGTAGCAGAGGCAGTACCAACAGCAGCAGCACCTAGAGCAACTCCACCGCTCTGCACCGTTCCACACTCACTCCCCTCACTCTCACTCCCATCAGAATCCTCCCCTCTCACGCGCTGCCTCTTCCTCAATCTCCTCCTCTCTCCTCCCCCTACTCCTTTCCCATTGCCCTTCAACGTTTTCTCTCCTACCACTCCTGCTGCTCCTTCACCGAAATCCCTTCTTCTCATAACCCTAGCTGCTACTATCCGTCCTCCCGCCCTCCTCCTCTCCCTCCCTTCCCCTCTTCTCTCACTCAACTGGTTTCCGGCCTTACCGAACCTAAATACTGCTACATCAGCAGAGGCCGGCAGGGAGAAGGGCTCGGTACGGCCAGCAGTTGCAGCCACGGGTGATGACGTCATCGTGGTGAAGAGAGGGAATGTGCGGGCGGCAGCTGTGACGGAGGTAGGGTCAAGCTGGGCGGCACAAGTGGTGGAAGCAGGGTCAGGCTGGGCGGCAGCTTCTCGGATTGACGCCTTGGAGTGCGTTGGCTGGATTGACTTTTGGGATCTTTCTGATTCGTTTGACCCCGTTGACTTTTTGGACTCTTGAGATGCGCGTGAAGTCCGAGAGTTTGCTGATCGCCTTGACTGGATTGACTTGACCGAGTGCTTTGACCCAGCTGACCGACACGAGGCGTCGGAGTGGTGTGGCGAAGGGAGGGGCGAAGGGAAGCGCGAAGACACAGTCACAGCTGCTTCCCCGCCTCCCTCCTCCTCCTCCACTTCGTTCTCCCCCTCCTCTCTCTCCCGTTCCTCTTCCTCCTCTTCCTCCTCTTCCTCCTCTTCCTCCTCTTCCTCCTCTTTCTCCTTTTCCTCCTCTTTCTCCTCCTCCTCTTCTCCCCGTCCCTTCATCTCCACCTCATCGGTCTCATCAGTCTCGTCAACCCCATAGCCTCCAATGGTTTCACCCGCAAACTCTCCTCCCGCCTTCTCACTCCGCCTCTCGCTTCCCCCCATACTCCGCGGATTGCTGATCATCTCGATCTCCTCCACGTCACTTTGCTCCTCCTCCACGTCACTCTCATCCTCCTCCACGTCACTCTCATCCTCCTCCACGTCACTCTCGTCTTCCTCTGCATCACTCTGCTCCACGTCACTCTGCTCCTCATCCACGTCACTCTCGTCCTCCTCCACGTCACTATCGCCGTCCACACTCTCCTCTTCACCAACCGATATCCCCTCACAAGTCGGAGCGGCGAGCGCAAATCCGCCGCTCGGCGCGCTTCTTCTCGGGCTAATCATCTCGATTTCTTCCGCCTCGCTCGCCGGCTCACTCTCCTCGTCGCTCTCCGCCTCCCCCTCCGCCTCCCCCTCCGCCTCCCCCTCCGCCTCCACCTCCGCCTCGCTCTCCGCCTCGCTCTCCCCCGGCGCTATCGCAAAGGGATTCACACCACCGCCACCCGCAATCAGCGCGGCATCTCGTTCCGCCGCCTCTCGTTCCGCCGCCTCTCGTTCCACCGCCTCCCGCTGCCGCTCCCGCGCGCGTTCCGCCAGGCTCTCCTCGAGCAGCGCAATCCACTCCGCGTCCTCCTCCACCTCCGCAAGATGAGCCCCGCTTCCCCCCTCCGGAATATCAGCCTGCTCCGGAGAACGAAATCGCTCTCGAGGCGCATCAAAGACACATTCCGGGTCCTCCCCTTCCACAAAATTAATTTCTCCGTTTTCCCGCTTATTATCCGCTTCTCCCGCTTCCTCTTTTCCAGAAGTGGCCTCAGCCTCAATTCTCTCCTCCTCCTGCTGCAGCGCCTCTGCTTCCGCCGCATTTCCCGAGGCGCCCTCATCTTCGCATGGCGCCTCCGCTTCCGCTTCTGATTCCGCTTCCGCCTCTGCTTCCGCTCCCGCTCCATCGATCAGTATCGTATCCTCCTCTTGGTCACCCTTGGCCTCCTCCGCACCATCCTCCGCGATTCCCGCCGTCCCGTCCTCCTCTTCGTCTTCCTCGTCTTCCTCCTCTTCATCTCCCGCTTCTTCCGCTACTTCCGCCTCTTCCGCCTCTTCCGCCTCTTCCGCCTTCTCCGCCTCCTCCTGCAGCGCAATCAAATCGATTTCCAGAAACGCATCCTTATCGTCACACTCGCTACCCTCACCTTCGATTTCTCCACCAACGACCACAATCGAACCCCGCTCACGCTCCCCCGTCTCCCTCGTCTCTCCTTCTCCATTCTCAACGCAATCCTCAAAAATCAACTCTCCTTCTGCTTCTCTTACTCCCTCTCCTTCCCCCATTCTTTCCTCTCCTATTCCTCCTCCTTCTCCTCCGTCTTCTCCTCGTTTTCCTTCTCCCCAGTTCTGCTCAGCTTCCGCCTCTCCCGCTTCCCCGTCGCTCGAGCCAAGCATCAGCGCATTTTCCAGCTCCCGCCGGATATCCGCCTCCTCCTCCGCCGCCATTCCCGCCTGACACGTGCGCAGCTCCTCCTCCACGTCATCACCGTATGATTCGCTAATAGTCACCTCGGTAAGACGGCGATGTTCGTGTGTTGCCTCGTCCGCCGTTCCCGCGCCTTGGACGTTCAGGCGTTGCGCCACGTTTTCCGCCCCCGCGCTGCCTTCCGCCACTCCGCTGTTTTCCGCCATCGTGCTGCCTTCCGCAACTCCCGATCGCGCCGCATCCAGCTCCGCGTCTTGTCCGCCCGTTACTTTTTCAGTCGCAATTTCTTGCTCGCTGTCCCCTCCCGCGCTTCTTTCCGCCTCCGCGTTAGTTCTTTCCGCCGGTGCGGACTCCGCAGCCGACGCCAGCGGAGACGCCAGCAAACCGCTTGGTCCCCTCGTCGCTGTGGGTTCGGAAGCCACGTCAGCATGCGCCTCGACTGCCGCCGTCGCTGCGTCGGGATGCTGCGCTCGCCGTTCGTTTTCCGCAACGCCGTGGCTTTGTTTCTTTCCCGCGGACTTCTTTGCCCCCTTCTTCCCGCGAGCCTTCCGCGCATTCTTCCGTGTCCGCTTGGTTGGAGCATCAGCAGCTGCAGCAGCGGAAACGGCTTCCGGCCCGGCTGAATTTCCAATTTGGGAGCCGTCAACATAATCAGCAGGTTCAGCACAGTCAACGCAGTCAACGGAGTCATCGAGGAATCGACGAAGCCGCGTCTCCTTCGTCTCCGTGTCGGTCTCCGCGTCTCGTTCCGCAATTGTTACCTCCGCCGTTTCTTCCGCCGCCAGCTCCCCCTCCTTCCGCGCACTCACTGGTCCTTCCGCATCCGACTCCTCCTCGTCCGCCAAAACCAGTTTAAGCCTTTGGCCGTCGATCTCCTTACGATGAACCGTTTTAGCGTTAATGTCCTCCTCGGTAGATGGTTCTAGCTTGTGTCGAAGCATATCCACTTCATCTTCGCAATCAAAGTAACCACCTGTGCGAAGAGTTTTCGGGAAAGATTCGCCTTCGCTGGGGAACCTTTCTTTCTTAATCTCTCTCGAATTCACACCCGCTTCACCCCCGAACGTCCCTTCCCGCACAGTCCCTTTCCCCGCGCCTTCCCGCCCAGTCAGCTTTGGCTTCTCCGCCGAATCTCCCGCTCTGCCGCGCGCGACCTTGGCCGGCGGGTTGCGCGCATCCGCCTTCGACGACAGCGGGCCGAGGTCAAGAGATGGAATGGCGTTGCGCGGAAACGGCACTGGTCGCGCAGACGAGGAGAGGCTCGAAGCGGGGGAGTATGCGGCGAATTCGAGTTCCCCGAGCTCTCGGGTTACAAATTCCGCGTCGATCCTCCGCTCCCGCTCCCCCGGGATTCCCGCCAGGATATCCGCCTGGACTTGCGCAGTGGCATACGCCATGGAAGCCGACACGAGCATCTCAGGAACATTGTGGACGCGGCGCGAGGCGGACCGCGGGGAGAAGAAGCTTCGGCGAAAACCGAGGAGTTTGGGCGCGGAGCCATCGGGATGCGCGGAGGGGGATTTGGGGGCAGGTTTGGATTTGGATGCGCCGAACGGGTTGAATCGCGGCGTGTGAGGACTGGACGGTCGGGATCGTACGGATGGTACAGATGCGCGTCTGTCTGTTTTTCCCGCCTCGACGGACACAAAGAGCGACATAGTCTTCACCTGGTTTCCCCGCTCGCGAGAGGTACTTTACCAGGAGATTTCCGATGGATTCAGGCGGCCATGGGTGCAAGCCGATGGATGCTATGGAAGCTACGGAAACTAATGAACAGCGGAACAGCAGTGCTCTTGATTTTTTGCTGTGATTACACAGGGCGAGGACAAGGGGCATGAAAGACGACAAGGGGCATGAAAGACGAACCTTGGCTCGTGCAAGGTTGACTGCTTTTCACTGGAGTGTGTTGAGAAGATGCTGCGGATGCATGGAGGGAAAGTTTGCAATGGATGGGGACCAAAATTTCTGTAGCGGATAGCACGAAGGCAGGAGGAACGGCGATGGGGTGCAAGTACGGTCTCGATAAACTGTCTTCCATGTTCGCCGGTGGGTGCATCCTGAATGAATTCGTGTGAAGCAGAATGTCGAATTGCAATCGCGCCGCATGCTGGGCGACTCGATGTCATGGAAGCTGAGAGAGAAGAGTGGCGTGTGCTTGGGTTGGATCTCGACGTGGCGCGTTCGGGGAGGAGTGAAGGTGCCGCGTCGTGCGGGGCGAGGGGGAGAACGTGGGGAATGCTCTGGGCGGGATTTTTCGCATGCGGCAAAGACTCGCACGACTGACTCTGGCGGAGTTTGTTGCGAAGACATTTCGCAAAACGAACAACGCAGCGGAAGCAGATATACCTCCCTCCTTGACTGCTTCTCAAGTAAATGAACTGGTACTGTCCTTGTTAGTCAGGTGGAGCGTGCAGACAGAACAGTTATTTTGTATGTTTACACTTATATTTACTAATTCTGCTGTACAGCTGTACTATTGATAACTGAACATCAGTACATAATAGCAGTTTATCACTGAATCCAGTCACAGATCCCTCCGCTTCAAGGAGCTTGTTCATTCATAACCAGGAGCGCAACCTCGATTCTCTAGATTGCATTTTTAGCAGGATCATTTCACTTCTGATTGACTTTCGTGCAACTTTGATCCTTTAGCGGAGCGAGCTACAGCAGCACCGAGTCCTGCCACCTCCGAACCGAGTCCAGCTTCGTTCAACCAACCCCCAAGGTCCAAGCAAACCAGTATCATTCTGCTGGAAGCTCTAGCAGCTGGCCTGCTGTTTTGAATTCGAGACGTTTCCAAGCCGCCTTGCAGTCTGTGGTCCGGCGCGCGGGAACCACGGGTAGCTCGTAGTCTCATTTCTAGTGTAAAATTTCAATGCTTCCCGCTCGGGTCAAATCATGGAGCCGTTCCAGCAAGCGTGCTTCCGTGTTCGCCGTGCTCCCAGCAGCGCACGTGGCGCTCGTGGTGGCCGCGCTGTTGAGTCATTCCGGAGCGTGGATTGCGGTCACGAGCGGCCAGACCATCGCTCCTTCCCAAGGCATGTTCGCCTCGTCGCTCTCCGTGCTCCGCGCTTCGCGTTTCAGGAATTCTGTCAGTGAACGATGCCTTTGGGTCCAGGTTTCCAACATTAGTCAGCGAATGTCGTTTCCAGGTTTCAGCTTGCACAAAAAAAGGTTTTCTAATTTCAATTTTGGTTTTTAGGGTCGTAAAGGGAGGCTCTTCCTCACTTCCCCCTCGTTCCAGATCCCATTGCCTGACTGTCATGCCGCATAAGGAGCTAATGTGCCACGTTGAGCCTGTAGCATTTGTTTTGCCTTTACATTCGTTCTCTTTTCCTCTTTCCAGTCCTATGCTGTCAAGCCGCATGGGATGTTTACACTCAGCCAATGGCTTTCATACGGCTCAGAAGTTGTCATCTCTTGCTCTTTCCAGTTCCCGGGTTGCTTGACTGTCAGGCCGCGTGGGGAGTCACGTTCAACCAATGGCAGGAGGGCGGTGACTGCAGCCAGGCGGATGGCCTCACATGTGACAGTAACGGAATGATTACCAGCATGTGAGTCACACGTCCTTTCCTTAAATTGTTCTTTAAGTGTCAGAGTCAAGTTCTACTCTCTTGAACCTTCCTGGGATTTGCAGAGATCAACTTTTACGTCATTCCATCCTTGTATGCTGGCATTGCAGGGGTAATGTGGTCCCCCTGCATGCATCGTGCACCGTGCCATAGAGGTAACGGAATCACCTAATGCACCATGCTGCATGCATGATGTGTCTGTCGATGCAGGGCTCTGGATGAGATGGGTTTGTCAGGCTCTCTACCAGCAACCATCGGATCATTCATCAACCTCTCCTACCTGTACGACAATCCTACCTTTCCTGTACGACAATTCTACCTTTCCTGTACGACGATTCTACCTTTCCTGTACGACAATTCTACCTTTCCTGTACGACAATCCTACCTTTCCTGTACGACAATCCGACCTTTCCTGTACGACAATCCTACCTTTCCTGTACGACAATCCTACCTTTCCTGTACGACAATCCTACCTTTCCTGTACGACAATTCTACCTTTCCTGTACGACAATTCTACCTTTCCTGTACGACAATCCTACCTTTCCTGTACGACAATCCTACCTTTCCTGTACACTCAACTCTTGAGGCGCCTTAAAAGGCCCTCTACCAGCGTCCATGGGATCATTCATCAACCTCTCCTACCTGTACGCCAATCCCTCCCTGCCTGCCTGTACACTCATCCTGTCCTCCCTCCTTCACTCAACTCTTGAGGCGCCTCAAAAGGCTCTCTACCAGCAACCATCGGATCATTCATCAACCTCTCCTACCTGTACGCCAATCCCTCCCTGCCTGCCTGTACACTCATCCTGTCCTCCCTCCTTCACTCAACTCTTGAGGCGCCTCAAAAGGCTCTCTACCAGCAACCATCGGATCATTCATCAACCTCTCCTACCTGTACGCCAATCCCTCCCTGCCTGCCTGTACACTCATCCTGTCCTCCCTCATTCACTCAACTCTTGAGGCGCCTCAAAAGGCTCTCTACCAGCAACCATCGGATCATTCATCAACCTCTCCTACCTGTACGAAAGCCGTCCCTGCCTGTGAATCAAACGTAGTTCGTCCTTGCTTGTACCTCTGCATTCGTCCTTCCTGCCCCCTCCCTCTTGACAGCCTTTTAACCCACCATTGTAGAGTTTTGATATCGTTTCGAAAATAAAAATATACCTTATTAGATTCGGCCCTTTTCTTGCAGATTTTAGAAGCTTCTTCTTCTCCTGCTCTGCTCTACTTCCCCTTCCTCTGTCTCTGCACCCTTTCCTTGCACCTTCCCCCCGCCCCATACCGGCATGCAACACACATGCATGCATCTGCCATCATCCCCATCTGTGTATGTGCTTGCCGCATCCCACCTGCCTGCACGCCTCTCCACCGCACTGCACCGCTCTGTGAGAGCAGTAGTCTGTGGAGCAACTCGCTCACAGGGGAACTGCCTTCCACCATCACTGCTCTCACGGCTCTCAATGACATGTGAGTGTGTAAGTGTGTGAATGTGTGTGGATTTGAGTGAGCGTGAGTGTGTAAGAATGTGAGTGAGTGTGAGTGTGTATGAATGTGAGTGTGTGTGAGTGAGAGTGCCACGCGAGTATTCAACTGCCTTTCACCATCACTGCTCTCACGAGTCACGACTCTCAGTGACATGTGAGCGTGAGTGTGTGTTTGTGTGTGTATACCTAACACACCTGCACACCTGCACTACACACCTCCACTGCTTTCTCCCCGCTCTCGTCCACTCTAACCAATCCTAGCCGTCAGCACTGTCGTCACTCTAACATCATCCCTCTCCCCCTCTCCTCCTCTCCCCACCACAGTGTTCTCGACTTTAACCAGTTCACGGGGTCACTGCCGCAAGGCCTCTCCACACTCTCTCGTCTCTCCAGGCTGTAAGCACCTCACTCCTCGATCCTGCCAGCTATGCTTCAGACAGTTGATGCTTCACCTGCTCCCTCTCCTGTTACTCACCATGCCACAAGGCCTCTCCACACTCTCTCGTCTCCAGGCTGTAAGCACCTTACTCCTGCTACGCTACACTTGCTGCTTTTCTTACTCTCGCTCTTGCTACACGTTATTCCTTCATTCATCGCCTGTGCCTCCCCACCTTTTCTTCGTCCTGTTATCTCCTTCCTTCCTTCCTTCCTTCCTTCCTTCCTTCCTTCCTTCCTTCCTTCCTTCCTTCCTTCCTTCCTTCCTTCCTTCCTTCCTTCCTTCCTTCCTTCCTTCCTTCCTTCCTTCCTTCCTTCCTTCCTTCCTTCCTTCCTTCCTTCCTTCCTTCCTTCCTTCCTTCCTTCCTTCCTTCCTTCCTGCTATCTCCTTCCTTCCCTCCTCCCTTCCTGCTATCTCCTTCCTTCCTTTCTGCTCTGCAGTGCGTTGGGTAATAACCTCTTCGTCAGTTCTCTCCCCGACTGGATTGGCAGCCTGTCATTCCTGGAAACGCTGTGAGTGGGATGATTTCCATTTACCGTGGGGGTCTTCGGGGGTCCTGGGGGGTGCTAAGGGGTCCTTGGGGGTCCTTGGCAGACTTTACCTCTCTCCGGTCGTCTCTCCCGTCCTCTCTCCCTTCATCTCTCCTTTCTCCTCTCGTCTTCCTGTGCCATCCGCCCCACACAGGGACGTATGCAGGAATGATATCCGGCCACCCCATCCCTTCCCAGTTTTTTTTCTGTCTCTCTTCCCCACTCGTCTTCCCACGCCATCCCCATCCCACAGGAACCTCTGCAGGAATAACTTATCCGGCCGCCCCATCCCTTCCCTTACAAAAATCTCTCCTCTCTCCTTTCATCTCTCCTTTCTCCTCTCATCTTCCTGTGCCATTCTCCCTCCACAGGGACGTCAGCAGGAATAACTTATCCGGCCCCATCCCTTCCATTGTAATTTTTTTTCCCTGTCTCCCCTCCCCACTCGTCTCTCCTTCCTGTGCCATCCGCACTCCCACAGGGACGTCAGCAGGAATAACTTATCCGGCCTCATCCCATCCATTGTAATATTTTTTTCCTGTCTCCTGTCCCCACTCGTCTTCCCATGCCATTCTTCCCCCACAGGGACGTCAGCAGGAATAACTTATCAGGCTCCATCCCATCCTCCATCGGCAAACTCCTCAACCTCACCTTCCTGTCAGTCAATCCCTCCTCTCATTTCGTACAACTCACCCTTTCACTCTCTTCTGTTGAGGTGTGCCTCTAAGATTGCCTCTATCTTGAGATGCCTCGAATACTGGAACCGTAAACAGATCTGCCTTGTACTCTTGAGAGCACCTCACCTTCCTCTCAGTCTCTCCTCTCCTTCCTGTCAACCTCTCTCCTCTCCCTTCATCCAGCCAATCTCCATCTTTCTGCAAAACTACCTCCTTGCACAGCATGTGCTCTCTCTCATCCTTGCTCTCCCTCTCTATCTCGCCCCTCTCTATCCCAACCATCTCTGCTCCCAACTGTGACGGCCGTGCAGGGGACTCGAGTACAATGCCTTCACGGGCCCTCTTCCGGCCACCCTTGGTTCCCTCACCACCCTCGCCTACCTGTGAGTTGCCAGCGTTGTTTGAGGCGCCTCAAGAGTCGGCCGTGCAGGGGACTCGAGTACAACGCCTTCACAGGCCCTCTTCCCGCCACTCTCGGCTCGCTCACCAGCCTCGCCTACCTGTGAGTTTCCAGCGTTGTTTGAGGCACCTGTGAGTTGCCACCTGCACTGCACGGAGGAATCTAACCTCAACCTCCGAGCTGCCAGCGTTGTGTGAAGCTTGTAACACACACGTGAGGGGGCTGCCTCGAGAATCATACCTTCCCGCTTCCCTCGGTCTTCTCACCTCCCTCACGGACCTGCGAGTTGCCACCCGCACGGAGGAAAGTAACCTCGACTCGGCCTGTGACTCTCCACCGAATTTGTGTGCGAGTTGTTTTTGAGAACCCTAGACGACACATGAGGTGCCTCAGGTCAGGGAACCGCTCTCTGCCTTCTGCGTAGATTACCCATCGTAGATTACCCATCGTAGATTACCCATCGTAGATTACCCATCGTAGATTACCCTCGGGGAACCTCCTGGTCGTTTTTCCTCATCCCCCATCGTTCTTCCCTCTCGCGCCCCTTGTGCAGCAACGTATGCAACACATCGCTCACCTGCCCTGCTACCCCAGGCCCCTGTGACGTCCCTCAGGGACCCTCTCTCTGCCCTCTGTGTCGTTCACTCACTTACCTTCATAAATTCCTTGCTTCCCTCTCTCATCCCCTCACCGTGCAGCAACGTAGCCAAACACATCCCTCACCTGCCCCACCACCCCAGCCTCCTGTGAGGTCCCTCGGGACCCCCTGTTTGTCTTCTGTGTTGTTCACTCACATACCTTCTTGAAATCCCTTGTTCCCCATCCTTCTTCCCACTCTCATCCCACGTACAGCAACCTAGACAACACATCCCTCACATGCCCCACCACCCCAGCCTCCTGTGAAGTGCCGCAGGACCCGCTCTCTGTCTTCTGTGTCGACTGCCCCACCTTCTGCTCCCAGTGCTCTTCTACGGGTAAGCCGCTCAAGCTTCCTGCAGCCGCTTATGTCGCACCTATCTTTTTTTTTTTTTTTTTTAAAGGGCTAGAACTTTCTAAATCCTGTTCCCGGTCCTTCCTGCTGCCGCTCATGACTCACCTACCTTTCTCAGAGGGTAACAAAAAATCCTTCAATCTTTTCAACGATTTCACTTCCTCTTCCTCCCCCTGTTATGGCAGTTGTGCCATCTGAAACTGTCTTTCTCTTCAAACTGCTCTTCTGCTTGTCAGCCCCCTTCCATTCACCCTCCTTTCATCCATTCCGTGTCCCCTCGTTCTGCGATTTCTTCGCTTCCTCTCTTTTCCCAGCAGTTGCATACTCTTGTGTCCTTTGCTCTGTGGCGTGTTGCACGTCTGAAATCTGTCATCCCCTTTTTTTTCCCTTCCATGCCCAACCTCAAAGCTCCACAAGCCCCACCGATCCAGCCACCAGCAGCGGCACCATCAGCAGCACCACCACCAGCAGCAGCACCACCACCAGCAGCACCAGCACCAGCACCAACACCATCAGCACCATCACCATCAGGACCAGTACCGTCACCATTGCCACCTCCACCATCCCAGCCACCAACTGCAGCACCAACAGCAACCCCACCCGCAGCACCACCATCACCACCATCTCCTTCTATCAGCCCATCCACCCCATCCCCACCATCCCCACCACCAGCAACACAATCACCAACACCAACAATATCACAATCACCACCACCACCAGCACCCAAACCTGCATCGCCATTGGCTTTGAGAGCCCTCTATAGCAATGCGAGGATGGCGTCCGTGTTAGCCCTCCTGGTAATTGTTGTCTTTTAATGCAAGTGGTAAGTTTCATGGTTGACATTTATATGTGCATGTGTTTCGTATGAGCTTCAGAGCTGTATATTATTTGGCGTTGGCCGTTATTTATCTGCTAGTAGCCTAGCCACGAAAGGGCCGTAAGACATGACGTGGTGTAGTGCATAGAGGACGGAGCTGAACAAGATGGTGTTTCCCTGGAAGCTGTGCAGCCCTTCCATCTGCACCTGTCATCCATTTTTTTCTTATTTCTATTATTTCAGCGAACCCAGAATGTTCTATCACATCACATTTATCCATCTACAATCATGCAGGTGAGAACTCCTGATCTCAGTCACATAACGTTTTTTTCACCATGTGGTGTATATATCTCGTCATTAAGTTTTCCGCTCTTTTCGCTGTTTTCAGCGTTGAAATTCGTGTGGCAACCCGGTTTCCGCGATTCGGAATTCCAAAGAACTGTTTCGCGAACAATTCACTGATCAGGCGACGAGGCCAATCATACCAGCAACACTCATCAGCGAAGCTCAAACGAAATCGAGGTGGTGCACCGGGCGAGTCGCATGCGTGTGTGGGACTTCGCGATTCGACTGACCACACCACAGAAAGTTGTTCCGGTCAACGAAGAGAAAAGCACTGAAATGCATCCCACCCCACCCCAGGATTTTCCTCAGGAGTTTTCGTTCAGACCTCTCATCGCTCGGCGAGGAAAGTCTTCGACAAGACGCCAGCACCAGCTACCTCCAATAATGGTGACTCACACAACGCTATTGAGATTGCGTTGTAAGCTGAGCAACCTCCAATAATCGTGACTGGGGACCGAGCCACCGCCAAAATTTGCGACGTCAATCCGACGATGAAATGGCGAGCCCGCCTGGAAGTTTCTTGTGCCGGGCCGGCGGTCCGAGAATCCGGGATTGCAGAAAGCACCCAGTTAGCAGCGATGCTGTCGTGGTGACGTCGCGTGAATGAACGCGCCTCGACTATACGTTTCGTTTCGTCAGAGTCGGGAAGTTATTCGCCGTGCAACAGCCGACTCGGGCTCTGCTTCCTCATTCAAGCTATCCCGCTTGCGTAATGGGTATAAAGCAGCAATGGTATCTCCACGCTTTTCGTTCGATAGCGTATCTGTCCCGCGATACTCAAGCAAAACATAGTCTCACTTCGTCGTCGGACACACTTCATATCGACGCCTAGTATCCTGTTGCCTTCCCGCCGCCACCGGTCTTCGCAAAGATTCTCCCGAACCTGCACTGCCTTGTTCTTTAACTCCGCTAGTCAAAGACTCTCCAGTTCGCTTGAATCACTCCGTTGATTCCTGGCATTGACTCACTGCGTTGACTCACGGGTCCAAAGATGGATGTATTGTCCACAAGAGCGAATCTCACGACGATGCGCCTTGCCTTTCTCGTTGCGCTCATAACAATGCTGGCAACGGTTTCCCACGCCATCGGCAGCAGCGAATCTGCTGCCGCTGCGCGAAGCGCCGCGTCGTCTGAAAGCGTATCGACAACCACAATGACTGGGCAGAAAATCGGTATTCCTCGGCGGGCAATGCGGCGTGTAATGCGGGGACCGAGCGACCAGACCTCCGTATCTCCCTCTGAAACGCCCGCATTGCGGCCGAACAGCGCCTCCGCACTTCCAGCGGGGGATCGGCAGCCTTCCCCACTCCCTTCCGCCTCGGCTTCGGAATCTGCGCGAACAGCCGATTCGCCATACGCAATAGTACCGAATTCCACTGTATCGACCCGGAGCGCGTACGCGACGCGGTTCTCCCCTCTCAAGCCGCGCCTCGGGAAGTTTCAGCACCAGCAGCAGCGGCGCGAGCTGCAGGGCGCGACGGACATTGCGAACCAGGGCGGCCCGATACTGGCCAACCCGAAGGTGTACTTAATCTACTATGGAAACTGGCCCGAGGGGTCCGGGCAGGATGTGATCGAAAATTTTATTAACTCGCTTGGCGGAGACACGGGGAACCAGGGGGACCCGACGGGGGAGAACAGCGTGCGTAATTGGTGGGACATTTCGACCAACTACTACCAGAATAACGACGACGGCACTCAGACGTTCGTCAGTCCCGACGTGAGTGTGTATAGCGCCCCGCGGCCCGTGCCCCGTGCCCTTCTGGGAGAAACGTCGGTCGCCGCAGTGGTGCCACGGTGCCACACGGTGTCAGACGGTGTGCGTTGTCAACTGAGCCGAAGTCGTTGTTGGATGGATCCTGTCAATCTCACGATTCGCTTTCGCTAATTTCTCCTCACATTCGCTTTCTTTCAGATCACCTAATTTCACTTCCGTGCTCGCTGCCTTTACCCAACATCCCTCTGCGTTTACCCTTGTCTGAGTCAGATCACGTTGGGCGGCACGGTGACAGACGACGGATCTAACGGCTGGCAATCAATCGACTTGGGGACGAGTGAGTCATGCGTGTGGTTTTGCTGCTGAAACTTTTAGCAAAAAAAGGCTAAACCGTGTATGACTCCGATTCATGCTCGTCGGGCCGTTTATCAGGATCTGCCATCATTTCCTGCTGCCTCTTGTATTTCTATCTTACTTCCTCACACCCACCCTTTCACTTCTCTCACCCTATCATTTTAATTTCCTCCTTTTCCCCCGCCGCTTCCTCCCCCCACCCTGCTTCTCCAGTCGTCAACACACACGCCGGAACGGACCTCCCCATAGACACTGACGGAATCTACCTCGTGCTGACGAGTTCTGACGTCCAGGTTGACGGATTCTGTGACAGCTTCTGCGGATTCCACACTCAAACAACTTTGGACTCGGGGGAAAATGTCGCTGTTGGTTTCATCGGGAGCCATGACAACTGCTGCACATACAGCGAGTGAGTGCTGCTCCGTGCTATAACGAGGTTGATAAAAATGAGAGTGAGTGCTATTGCTTGTTATTAGTTGTGCCAGTAAAGGTGAGTGAAGGGCAGGTGGTATTTCCAACTCGCCTATTACAGTACCACTTTCTGCACACCTTCCAAAGCAATAACTCGCCTGCCCTTTTCCACACCCTCCGACCCATCCAGCGTCTCGCCCAATGGCATGCCCGGAATTGACAGCATGATCTCCACCATTGGTCACGAGATCGCCGAGGCTGCTACCGACCCTGACGTCTCGTCCGGATGGATGGCCGCTGATGGCGAGGAGAATGCCGATATGTGCGCGTGGCAGTATGGCGACGTTTCCCAGGACACTGACGGTAATGGTAATACGTATGACTACAACATGGTTGGGAACGATGGGATGCGGTTCATGGTTGAAGCAAACTTTGACCTGATTACTAATTCGTGCCAAATTCAAGCACAGAACGGGGGCTAAAACTGGAATGCTGAATCATTGACATGTTAGGTCTTGCTGCTCTGGCTCCTGGTTAGGAGTACTTGCACTGGCTACTAAATAATGCCTGGGATAGGGGATCAGACTCACAAGTGGAGAGACGGCAGTCAAGAATAAAAGGGCGAGTTTTGAGTGATGGAACCTAGGGTCTACGATTATATTATGTTGTTCTGATCTTAATTATAGTGAGATTGGGTTTGTGAGCCACTTTTCTATGCATCAGCTTCATTGTGTTTTGCCACCATCACCACCACCTCCGGCAGCAACCCCACCATCTGCAGCACAACCAGCACCACCACCACCCCCATTCCACCACAACCACCACAACCATCATCATCACTGCCACAACCACAACCACCCAAGCCTGCTAGCAGTGACAGCAAACCATGTGTGCTAGTCCTCTTGTTTGTTGCCTCGTGATGAGTGAATTGTGCAAAGTTACCTTATTTTTTGGCGTGTTGAGTGTGAGGTTTATTGTTGGGCTGAGAATAGCCCTTAGGATCTTTCCAGGGATAAACTCTAGGTAAGAACCTTGTAATAGCGGAAGCGTTTAATGAAGAGTTTGTGAACCACCTTGCGCTAGTATGTGAGGGCAAAGTAGATTGATTATAGCAAAGAGATACAAGAATATTTATAATAGTACAAGGAATACGAAACGATACGGTTGTAACTAATTTACTGTTGCTGTTGCGGTTCGATACAGTACGACTCGGGCAACTGCTCTGTAACGAGTCAGTTGTGTGTCCTTAACTGTCGCGCTGTACTTGTCAGGTCAAAGGTCGCTTGACCTTTGACTTTCGCGTAACCTCCAGCAACCTCTCAACCTCCGAGGGTTGACTCGTGCTTGCTTCGGTATTGTGTTCTTCACTTCTGGTGCGATGTTTCGACACTACTGAAGCGCTTAAGTTTCACTGTTTCCAACACTCCCCTTCGCTTCTGGAGTGTCGCTGCTGATGACGTGGCTTTGTCCAGTCAGCAGCATGCAGTACTCGAATTTCTGCTTTCCGAGCTTCTTGGTCAAATAGTCGGCTGCCATCTCGGACGTGGGGCAGTATGACAGCTGAAGTCTCCCCTTCTCGATCTCGTCCTTCACGAAGAAGTAGCGTAGGGCGATGTGTTTCGTCCTGTTCGCGAAGCCGTTCTTGTTGGCGATGCGAATTGCTGACTGGTTGTCGCAGAACAGGGTGAAGTTGGGTAACTCGGCTAACTTCGCTTCTTCCAGCAGTTCGCGAAGATAAAGTCCCTCCTTGGTGGCTGAGCAGAGTGCAATGTATTCTGCTTCAGCTGATGATAGCGCGATTAACTCCTGCTTGCTCGACTGCCAGGAGATAGGACCGATGGGTTCGAGGCGGTAGATGTAGCCGGTGCGCGAGCGCCTGTTATCGGAGTCGCCGGCGTGATCGGCGTCGACGTAGCCGATTAACTTAGTCGGTGTAGTTGCGTTCTTGTGATACGTTAGGCCGATCGTTGAGGTGCTGACGAAGTAGTGAAGAGCGCGGTCGAGCTCCGCCAGGTGTTCTGCTTCGGGCTTCTTGAGGTAGGTGGCGAGTTGGCTTGCGGAGTATGAGAGGTCAGGACGACAGGTGACGGCTGCGAAGAGGAGGCATCCTAGCTTCCTCTGATAGTCGCGTATGCCGCCGGTCTTGAGTAGAGCGGATCCTTCCTTGTTACTTCCTGTCGTGTAGCGGTACGGTGTGGTGATGGTGGTCGGTGTGAGATTGAAGCGCTTGGCAATGGTGTCGGCGTACTTCGCGGCGCTGAGATAGATCGCGTCATTTTCTTCTCGAATGTTAAGCCCGAGGTACTGTGTGACGGTAGATGAGACAGTGAGGGTGAGATCCTTCTGCAGCTCCCCTTCGAACCAGGTGCCGTCGGTAGAGCCGATGTAGAGGAGATCGTCCACGTAGACGATTAGTAGGATGTAGTCAGTGTTCTTCGTGAGTCGGTACATGCCCTGATCGTGCGGTAGCTGCTTGAAGCCGATGCGAATGAGGCGAGCGTGCAGGTACTGCTGCCACAGTTGCGGGGCCTGCTTGATGCCGTAGAGTGACTTGAGCAGTTGGCAGACGTGTGTGGAGTCTGTGTTGGAACCGTGTGGTAGCTCCACGAAAATCTCTGCGTCAACAGGTGCGTAGAGGAATGCATTTGCGACGTCGATCTGTCGCAGCTTCTTCTTCTTCATGGCGGCGATTGCGAGGAGAATTCGGAGCGAAGTGTGTTGGCTCACAGGTGCGAAGGTTTCGGTGAAGTCGCGTCCGTGTTCCTGGTCGAAGCCGCGCACGACCCATCGTGCCTTGAACTTTTCGATGGTGCCGTCGGCTTTCGTCTTCACTCGGAAGACCCATTTTCCGGTGAGTATGGTCTTGTTTCGTGCTACGCCGATAGGGACGACCTTCCAGGTGTTGCGTTCCTCTAAGGCCTTCAGCTCCCTGTCCATGGCTTCGCGCCATTTTTCCCTGTGCTCCCCCCCCAGAGCCTGCTGAACCGTCGCAGGCTCCTTAGGAATGTCGGCGCCGTGGACTGCGGTGACGAGTCCAAGGATTTGGAGTCCACTCTGTGTGTAGCGGGGGAGTGTGGTGTCCTCGGGATAGACTGCTTCGTCTCCAGCTTCTGGGTCAGGTGCGAAATTGGGCCCTACACGTTCTGCTTCGTTGGTGTTGACTTGTTCGGGTGTAACGTAACCGTCGTCGGCGAACTTGTAGAAGACTTCGGCGTTGATGCTTTCGCGAGGGTTGTCGTCGTCCATTGGTACGTCTACCCAGCAGTACGGTAGTGGTCCGGCTTCTTCCGAGGCTCCGTCCACGTTTTGCTCGTCCCAGTCAGCTTCGTCTTCCGCTGAAGCAAAGGCTCGGGTTCCAGTGAATCCGCCCGAGGGATCAGGTCTGTTTGCTCTTACGTAGGCGAGGTGAACGTCGAGGGTGAGGTTCTCGTAGAAGAGGACGTCACGTGCTGCGACTGTTTCTTTACTGTTGATGTCGAAGATTTTCCACGCGTTGTAGTGTTTTTCGATGCCCAGGTGTACTCCCCACTGTGCTCGCTGGGAGAATCGACCGGCGCGTGCAGATGGTGGTCGGTACTGTACCATGCAACCGAATAGTCGCAACATTTTTGTGCTGCCCAGTTTTCCTGTCCACAGCAGGTGCGGTGATGCGTTGTTCGGGAGCGATGATGACGAGAGCAAGTTGTGCAGCATGACGGCGTGGTCCATTGCTTCGGGCCACTGGTGGTTGGGCAGATGCATGCCACGCAGCAGCTTGCGCATGGTGGCTTGGAGTGTCCTGTTCATCCTCTCTGCTACACCTTGCTGTTGATGGGCGTAAGGAAGGGAGATGAGCCGCTTGATTCCCCTCTCTGCCAAGTAGTCCTTGAACCTCTGTGAGGTGTATTCTCCTCCCCCGTCTGACTGGAAGCTTTTCAGTTTTACGCCCGATTCTCTCTCTGCTGCAGGAAGCCACGCGACGAACGCTTCGAAGGCCATGTCGCGGCTTGGTAGGTTGACGTGCCAGACGTATCTGGTCGCGGCGTCGATGAAGGTAATCGTGTAGTTGTAGGCGTTTTGTCCGGGTTCGCGGTTGTACAGGATGTCGCTGTACACCTTTTCGAGTGGCGCGTAAGCTGGTGCGCTTGGAATGTGATGAGATGGGAACGGTTAATGCGTTAAGTCTACTTCGGGATAAGTGAAGCATGTTCCTCGAGCTCGTTGAAGTTCTCTGCCGTCGGTCAGTAGAAGTGAGTCTTTGTCGAGCACTCCTGCTCTTATCGTGTTGTTTAACACTGTGTGGCTCGGATGTCCCATTCTTGCGTGCCAGGTTCCCTCGCTGGCGCGGTGTCCGGGTGAGCGGCGGTACATATCGGAGTTGGAGTAGAAGCCGGCGGTAACATTTGCGCTTCGGTGGACTTCTCGTCGTGCCGGGTTGAGCTGCTGCGCGGGTGTCGGTGGCGTGTCGTCGATGAAGGGCGGTGCCGTTGAAGGACCGGCGACTGGTGTTGATGTTCCTGCTGCTGCTGTTGTTGTCTCTGCTGCTGCTGATGTTGTCTCTGCTGCTGCTGATGTTGTCTCTGCTGCTGCCGATGTTGTCTCTGCTGCTGCCGATGTTGTCTCTGCTGCTGCTGATGTTGTCTCTGCTGCTGCCGACCGTTGAATCGTTGCTAACGCTCTTGTTCTCTCTGTTTCAGGAATGGTATGTGAATACCAGAAGCCGCCCGGACTGAAGTCTGGATCAAGATCCGGAGGATGTGTATGTCTAGTTGGTGAAGTTTACGATGGCGTCGCTGTCGGCCGTGCCAAGATCAGGAACGAAGTCAAGAACGAAGACGTTGTTCTTGAGGACCGCCTTCCCGATGTAGAGGCCTCCTCTCCCGTGATACAGCTTGAACTCCTGAGTGGTGCTGTCTACCTCAAGATGAATACCCTTCGCCATCAACTGGCTGACGCTCAGTAAGTTGTAGCCGAGGCCTTCTGCGATTAAAACCTTGGACATCTGCAGGATGACGTTTGTTTCTCGTGACTGAAGTTGAACGATTCCTTGTCGTCGTGTGCGCAGGTTCTGGTTGTTGGCGACGGTGATGACTACTTCTCGTTGAAGCTGATACTCTCGTTGCACGAAGCGTCCTGAAGAACACATGTGCTGGCCGCAGCAACTGTCCAAGAACCATGTGTCTTTCCCGGATGGCTCGCTTTGGGCGATGGCGGCGTACGTCGGGTTCGGTTGAAGTGACTCGCGGCGAGGTGTCGTTTCGTCGAGCTGTTCTTCTGGTGAGTAGTACGGTGGTGATTCCGTGACGCAAGAGTCACTCAGTCTTGCCATGCAGCTAACAATGCTTCTTGCTCCTTGTGCAGGTTGTCCCGTTGAGGTCGTTGAAGCTTGAATCTGAGTCGTTGGGTTCGCCTGTGTTGATGCGACTTGATTGCTTGAAGGTCGTAGCTGTCGCTGCGGAGTCGTTGACTGTTGACGATTCGGGCAGTGCGTGCGCGGGTGCCC